ATGGCCTTTCGTCGGCAAACATACGACGTTGCAGCCGCTCTGCAGCGTTTCGCAGTTGCCATTGCTTTGTGATGGCAGGGAAATGATCTATTACAGTCTTGTACATATACTTGGAAGTGACCTCGTTGGTTCAGAGAATGGGCGGTGTCAGAGCAATTTCCTAACTAAACTAAAGTTTTTTATTCTACAAGGTAAGGCCCACTGAGCTATATAATAATTTTTCAGAAGTGTCCTGCGCACAGATGAACGCTCAACGAAGTGGCTTATCGTGTGGCAATGTATAACAGCCAAATGCTGTGCTCTAAACGCGTGTTTCTAAATGTGGAGGCAAAAACAGGACCCGGAGGAAAATCCACGCGACCATGGGGGTTGGGATCAAACCTACGCCTTCCTGTATACCAGGCGAGGCAGTTAACATTTCACCACCATGGTAGAGATGCTAGATTCGGATCCTGGCCGGCCGTGCATGGCAAACGGCACTCTCGACCACAGCAGCAGCAGCGGCAAGACATGAATGAGTGGCCTCTGGTGTTGGACGAGAGAGGCTTTTGTTGCGGCTTCAGAAGTACATGTTAGGTGTCGCCTTCCAGTGCTTGTTCTTCCGCCGTGTGATGCCCTGCCTTGCGAGGGGAGCCTGAAGGATGGTTCTTTGTGACATTACTCCGAGAGTACATTTGGGAACAATCGTGCTGGATGAGAGACGCCTTTTAAAGTGACTTTAGAAGTATTTCTTTGGTGTCATTTTCCAACGGCTCTTCTCCGAGATTGCTCTCTCCAAGGGGCTCTGGGAGCCCCTTTGTCTCGTCACTCAATAGCTCCGCTCGTAAATTATGAATAATAATTTCTGTTGAATAACACTTCGTATTGACAATCACAAAGAGAGTGAAAATATGCCCGCTTGAAATGACTGTTTACTTGACGGAATTAAAGAGCTTTAAAAGTGTACTGTGTTTGTAAAATTAGCAGTGAACGTAATACCATTACCAACATTGTTTTATGGAGACTACGTTAAACAACAACAAAAAAGCGGTTTGCGATTTCCATTGAAAAACCGAAGTAAAAAATAAAGGTTCCCAGAATGTTAATGGCAATAGGTCTCCATGGAATTCCCATGAGATAAATCACAAAACGCTCCTTTATTGCGAGACGTTTCCCGAACAATCCCCCATTTGCCTTCACTCCCACTGGCATCATGCTTCGGTGATCCGTGAGACGCATAGGCAATCGGCAAACGCAAGCGCACCGCGTCAATATTCACACATGCATCCGTTATCCGTGACGATTATGCGTGCACAATAATACATTGCATCGCAACAATCAAATTCCTTTTTAAAATGCATATTTACGTAAATATTCTTTTGGTGTTTATTTAAAACGTCGATGACAGACGCGTGTGACTGTAATCGTAAATGTTTACTTTACATTGACTATACTTGATGGATAACACGCTGGGAATATTCGTTGTAATAATGCCTACACCTTTTTTTCATCGAGCCAAGAAAAGTATATTGCTTTTAGTCATATATTCTTGAATCATCAAGCAATGAAAGACACATTAATAAAAAAAATACTGAGCAGAAAAATCGGGCGAAGTCAATGGCTCTCACATCTCTTTATTTTGTGATTGGTTGCTCGGAGACTCTGGTTGGTTATTAAAGTTCAATAAGAGAGCGCGCTTGAGCATTTCATTGTGTCTTATTGATGATGACCACAATTATCAGTGGCACTGCTGAACGTTTAAATCAATATCTCACGGCACTCGTTTCATTGACAAACTGCGCGATTGGGGGGCCATGAGACCCAAGCTGTGGCCCATGTCGTAAAAACCCCACAGAGAGATGTAGAGAGATAGATATAAAGACTCATCGAGACAGAGAGAGAGAGACCCATAGACGCATAGAGATACATTAATAGACAAGCCACAGCAGCAGTGTGATTGTGGCCATGCAACCAAACTATGGATCGTAAACCACTCTAGCCCTGTGCTCTCTCAATAGCGGAGGAGGAAAACTACACGAGCTCTATAAGTCTTTGGTTATTTCGGTAAAGTTACGTAGGTAGAAAAATAAAATAAAAAATAATATATCACGACGTTTCCATCGCAACACAAGCGGTCGTTCTCAGGTGGAAAAATAATCCAGCAGTGAAACTGCTCAACCAGGAGGAAGACAGCGAGAGAGTTGTTACAACAAGAGGTTATATATGTTGGCGAAGGGCAAGCCAGCTGATGTCTACATCGTCGTGGCCAGCAGACCTCCACGTCGCCATTGAGCTCCTGAACACGTGCTGCCATCATGGGCAGGAATAACATTGACAAACTTAGAGCAACTGCTCTATGTAGAGCAGGATTGTATGCGTGGCTGTACATGATACACGAAGACAAATAACCATCCATATCACGTGCTTATTTGAGGCTGAGTCGACCTAGGGGCCTCCCAAGACCGGTTCAGATAATGGGCACTGGTGCTGGGCCATGAGCGGGAATCGAACTCGGGTTGCCGGGTTCGTAGGGCAGCATACGAACCACTACACTGCATCACACAAAAACAAAGACAAAGATCCCCCGTATAGCCTGAACAGACTCTTGGGGCAAGTGCTGTTCTCAAGCACCTATGAAGGCCGGCACGGCACACGAGGGGGTGGGTGGCCAATACCACGCCCAGCCGCTTTTGTCTCCCCAGTGACGATGTTAACACACCGCACCGGGTACTCATTTGAGGCCGAGTCGACTTAGGGGAGGCCCGGGACCTGTTCCGATAATCGTCACTGGTGTTGGCCATGAGTGGGAATCGAACCCGGATCGCTAGGTTCGTAGTGCAGCGCGCTAACCGCTACTGCACTACCGCATCACGCACACACACAAACACACACGCACGCGCACACACAGACGCACACCTGTGCCCGTGAGTCGTCCCTCGGGCATGGCAGCGTCTTATCTGAATTTATCTCGCACAGGGCTCCTTAACTCGCCATTCGTTTCGGCATGACTCTGTAGAAAACACGCCCCTGAAATGATTTTCCCCTAAACTGATATCTCGGAATGAGTCTCAGAATATCTGAAAAATCTTTAACCTATTTTTAATGTTCACTCATTCCCCAGAATGCTCATGGTTCTGATTCATCCTCTTGCGCAGCAGTCGCAAGAACTCCAAACTCCGTCAAATATTTATGTTTCCGTCACAAATTGTGTATATATCACACTTTGTAGTGTCAAAGTATCCACCGCTACCTCTTGCTGCTCATTTGCCTTCTCTTCTGTAACATCTAGGTCATGATCAAATGTACACCTGCAGCCCTGTGTATCCTCGTTTTTGAAACAGATGTACAATGTTTTCTCCAGGTACAATGCAAGCTAAGGGTATTTCAGATAACCAGCCTATTGCCCCTGCAAAACGTAAGCATTATAGTATTTATAATATTGTTTTTTTTTAATTCCAGGACAGTAAACTTACCATTTAAATATACGATCTATTTAAGAAATACTTAAATCCACAATTATAAATATGCCATGGTCCTTCTTAAGCAGGTTAGGTTCACATTGGCACTCCACCCATTGCAAGCTGAATGGCATCAAACCCTTTTGCATGAATGCGGTCGATTCTAATTTTTTTGCCAATATTTTCTCACCTGCAACATTTTTCCAGCAAATTTCACTCAATAACCCTTCATAACTCGTGTCCCGTGGCTCTGTGGAAACCTGGGACATCTGCCCATATTTTACAACTTTTGCAGCCAGCCTATATTTCCTGGGGAATTTGTGATGCGTCTTTGTTTCTCCAATTAATTCCATATGTTTGACTTTATATCCCAAATACCTGATTTCAATTTTACCTGCAGGACGTAGTTTGCATAAGCTTAACTGCAACCTACGTCACTGTAGATTATCACGATTCAAATGAACGTGTTGTGCAGAAAGGCTGCTTCTGACCTTTATTGAAGGATACTGTTCATATGTCTATCACTTGCTGGCAGTTACACTCTTTTCAGACACAAGATTATAAAATCAGTGTCTCCGCAAACTCATGAATCGGGTGCCGAGGTCACCCTTTTCAAATGTATAATTGCATGAATTGCATGCTAAAGAGATATACTTCTTGGTCCCCTGTTGTATATGCGTGTTGAACTTCTTTCGTATGTATTTTGTATGTATGTTGTATGTATTTTGTATGTATGTATTTTGAGACTTCTTTCGCACCGTACATAGCCAACCGCACTACTCGGAGGTGCGGGGGAAGTACAACAAATTAAACACAAAAAGCGGTTCGCAATAAATGAGTTTTCAGTATAGATGATTTCAAAGTCCATAGCTCTGGTAGCTTCCTAATATCGGGAGGAAGAGCGTTCCAGACGGCCGCAGAACTTTTGCACCGTATGTAGCCAACCGTGATAATCGGAGGTGCAAAATCGGCCCTTGCATATCTGCCCAGAGCATTATATACGTGAAAGAACATCAACTTTATAGAAAGGATATATACGAATGAGCATATCGAAAGAATATAAAAATGTTGGTTAGCGATACTCTTGCCTGCCTCGGGAATGGTGTTGCCGGTGGTCGTGACTCCTGATAACAACTGTGGGGCTGGCATTCACAGTGACGAAGGCGATGGTGATGAATGTCGTAAATCGATACTGTTATCATCATCATCATCCATCACCTTCATTCTCATCTCTAGTCATCATCATCTTACATCATCATCATCGAAATTGTCATTCGGCACCCTGTGAATTGCACGCCTCACGACATTTGACGATGGTTCGTGATATTTGAGCAGTGGGGCAAGGACTTGCGGTAGAACCTGGACATTTCTACGCTGGGGAAAATTGCAGAGAAGGGCCCCCCCCCCCTCCCCCCTGCTGAAACTCCGCGACGGTCGCACGCGGTCCCCCCCCCCCCCCCCCCCCAGGGAGCGCGATGTTCCTATGCCGCAGTCTAAAACGTCGTCGCCTTACCCCCCACCACCCTCTCTCTCCTCTTCTCTCCCATTCCCCCCGGCCGCCAGTTTTGCAGAGCAGCGCGTGCGGCAACCCGGGCGCTCCGCCGCACGGCACGGTGCACGGCGCCGGCTTCGGCGTGGGCGACGAAATCCGCTACGGCTGCGTGCCGGGCTACGTGCTGGAGGGGCACGCCGTGCTCACGTGCGTCTCCGGCGCCGAGAGCCTCGCCTCCTGGGACTTCCCCGTGCCGCACTGCAAGGGTGAGTTCCCCCTTCCCCCCCCCCCGGGCTCGGCTCTCGCTCGGAGACACTGGCACGCGCCTGCCATCGCGGCCTCTCCTCCGACGCGCCGTACAGAGCCCCGCAGGGAGGCCGTGCCGAGCCGACCCTGGCGCGGATGAAGAGCCGCCGGGTTGTTCGCGAGTGGCGGTAGCGATGGGTAGGCCGCAGTCAATTGGCATGTCACGTGCGTGGTGGGGTAAATTGTGGGTACTCGCCGCCTCTTTTCAGCCAGCCAAGATAACCCTCTAAAAGGGCCACGCGGGGATTCCCCTCTTGTTGGAGGCGCATCCGCCAGCGGTGGCGTGAGGAAGCAGTTGCAGCCCTGCACCTTTGCCTTTCATACGTATCACCGCTCGGCGGAGAGATGCCGCTCCCGCCCGAACGGGGGTGTCTCGAATGCATTCGCAATGCTGTAACGCGATGCATTTCGGAGCGCAGTCTCCCACTGACTGTAAGAGAGTTTGTCTGAGAGTTTGTCTGATCACACCATCGGCATGTTGTTGTTGAAGTGGCTTCACATTCTGAGGTGGTGACGTCAGTCGGCACGGCTCACGTGACGGCACCGCCGCTCCACCTACAGGCGTTTCGAGTCCGTCATCAATGACAACATTGGCGGCTCGGCTTCCGCAGTTAAAGAACAAAATCTTGCTTCAATTTAATTGATTTATATTCTTGCTTCTTTCGGCAAAGTCACGTAGAAGGGAAACAATAAAATAATAAACATACAAAACAATACAATTCTCACGACGTTTCGACTGCAAAACAAGCAATCATCATCAGGTGTGAAAACCACAACAAGAAAATTTGAAAAAAGTTGCGTTTTTTTTAACGTTAGCACCACGGAGAGCGATTTGACAGTTTGTTTAGATGGACGAGTCCATCAATGTTCGGAAAAGAGGAGTGGGGAGATGAAAAATAATGGATGTGGTCTGAAAGCCACCTTAAGCGTGATCAATCAATTAAGACCTGAAATGGTTAATCAAATCATTCCAATGATTGCTAAGCCAGAATCCATCTTCTTGGTTGAAATTGTCTCTGTGTTTGTATATGTGGATAGCCTCATGAACGAATCTCTCATGGTAGCCAGATGGCTTGCAAAGAACCTCTGTCTTGGAGAAGTCAATCTCATGTGAACCTACTGAATTATAACAGTGATTTGCCACGGCCGAGGTGTTGGTCCTACCGTGGTTCAGGTCTGCTTTGTGTTCACGAATGCGGTCCGAGAGATGTCGTTTGGTTTCTCCAATGTAACTACTACCACAGAGGCAACTTAGTTTGTAGACGCCAGGGTACTGTATGTCCGGAATCACATCTTTTACAGACGGAACTAGATCACGGATTTTATGTAATGTGTTGAATCGGACCTGGATCTTGTGTTCATTCAAGATTTTGGAGATTTTTTTTGTGATCCCCACAATGTAGGGTAAAGTGATGGTTTTGAAAGGCTCCTCAAGAGGGTCCTTCTTCATGGTTGGAGTGATAGCTTTGCGGATTGTGTAGTCGGAATAACTATTAGCCTTAAGAGCTTGGTCTACGTGCTTGAGTTCACTGGCTATGTGTTCCTGGTCGGATATGCATTGGGTTCTATGGTGCAGAGTCTTGATGAGGGAATTCTTCTGGGATGGATGGTGGTGGGAATCCGGTTTCAGGTAAGCATCCGTATGGGTAGCTTTCCTGTAGACAGAGTGGCTCATTGAACCATCAGGTCTCTTTTTTATTAGGACATCCAAAAAGGTAGCTTGCCATCTTTTTCGACTTCCATGGTAAATCTGATGGCTGGGTGTATGGAATTGATGTGGTCGAAGAATTGGTCTAGAGCAGGCCGGCCATGTGGCCAGATGACAAAAGTTTCATCCACGTACCTCTTCCATAAGGTTGGGCGCAGAGTGGCAGTCTGGATGGCGTCAGTCTCAAATATCTCCATGAAAATGTTAGCTATAACCGCATCCATTATTTTTCGTCTCCCCCCTCCTCTTTTCCGAACATATATGGACTCGTCCATCTGAACAAACTGCCAAATCGCTATCCGTGGTGCTAACGTTAAAAAAACGCCACTTTTTTCAAATTTTCTTGTTGTGGTTTTCACACTTGATGATGATTGCTTGTGTTGCAGTCGAAACGTCGTGAGAATTTTATTGTTTTATATTTTTATTATTTTTTTGTTTCCTTTCTACGTGACTTTACCGAAAGAACCAAGAATATGAATCCCTGCAGTCACGAAAGCTTTTAATCAGAATTTAATTGATTTAATTAGTGGGGTATTTCACACAAGATTTACATGCACTAATTATAATGCAAAATCTGATAAGGTGATCAGAACTCATTCAACCACCGGAAAATGTAATCCAAAATGTGGATTGATTCAATTCGCCCTGGATCTCAATGGGGTCTGATTGGATCTGACAGATCCCAGTTGTAAAAAAAAAAACAATTAGTCCTCCCTAAATTAAAGTATCAGCGGCAATAATGAATCACATGTACAATTCCCAGAATGCTGCTTTTTTTAAATAACAAAAGATTAAGCAAAGTAAAACATGAGAATGATGAGCATTTTTCATCCGTTTTGCAGTCTGCATTTTGGCAACGATGAGCTGCCTTATCCGACGCAACGCGTCTGCAGAGTTACATTACCACGCCGCGGTAAATCCACCGGGGCTCAATGGCTATCGGGCCCCCCCCCCCCCCTCCGCCTCTGTCTCGCCTCCCACCAGCCGAGGGGGCCTGCGGGGGAACGCCGCACGGCCCCAGCGGCACCATCAGCAGCCCGGGCTTCCCCAACGAGTACGACAACAAAGCGTCGTGCACGTGGCTCGTGCTGGGCGTGCCGGGCGACACCGTGTCGCTCGTCTTCACCGACTTCCAGCTCGAGGCCGGCTACGACTTCCTGGAGGTGTCCGGCGCGGAGCTCCCCTCCGTGTGGTGAGCGCGGTGACGGAGTCCAGGGTGGGGGGGGCGCTGGTTATCCACGTAGCCGGCCAACCGGCCGGCCTACGAAGGTGCTTGCACCGGTGGTGGCCGTGAGCGGGAATCGGACTCGGGTCGCCGGGTTCACAGCGCAGCTCCGCTGACGGCGCTCGCCCCAACGGTCTGTTAAGGCCATATGGGAGATCTTTGTATTTGGTTGCGAAAGCCGGCACGGTACAGGAGGGGATGGGTGGCCAGCACCACGCCCGACCGCCGTTGTCTCCCGAGTGACGGTGTTTACTGCACACCGCTCCATGTACTCATTTGAGGCTGAGTCGACCTAGGGAAGGGCCAGGACCGGTTCAGATCATCGTCACCGGTGGTGGCCGTGAGGGGGAATCGAACTCGTGTCGCCAGGTTTGTAGCGCAGCTCCGCTGACAGCACTCGCCCCAACAGTCTGCAAAGGCTGTATTGGGGGGGATCTTCGTCTTTAGTTATCCACGTGCGGCCACTGTTCGCGTGTTCCGTCGTAATAAGGAAAAACAAATCAATGTCGCCGCAAGTGCTGATTATGACCGGGAGCAGTGAGGTGAGCCCGTGCCTAAAGGGCGTGATGTATCGCACGCCCTGTGAGCGAGGCTCTCCCAACCCTGTAATCCCCGCTCGCGCTCTCTGCAAAGGCATCCGAATCGGGTCTGCTCCGGCAGATATTCCCCCGTCAATTAGTCACCCGGTGCCATTTTCGTAGCCGCGCGTGACCGTGCATTTCAAATAGGTCGCCAGACCACACTGGCACAGCGTTAGATTGAAAGTCACAAGGTTGGAATTTAAACTCCTGGTCAGGGTCAACTTGGTCTACCCTCACGAGCAGCAACATCATCATTTTCTACTCATTGCAGATCAAACCGGCCTCTGACATAGCAATATTGCCATTTGTATACGTCTTCGGGGCTACCATTGGATGCGATGACTAACAATGTTTTATTTTATGCTTGAGAAACACTGATTTAAAGGAAGACAGCTGGAAATACAAACAGCTCTTATTACATGGACACATGCCCCGGCTGTGTGAATGGGGCCGTCCAACGTGAGTGAGTGAAGCCTCAGTAAAGGTTGAAAAAAAAAAACGATGTTCCAAATCTCAGCCAGGAGCAACTGCGGTGGTGATGTCACCGGGGCTTCGCTGTCTCGCTGTGAATAAAACCTCCGCAGCCATCGCACTCAGAACGCTACACCTTTGTTCCTCATTCACTGTGAATCAAGCTCGTGCTCTGCCCACCCGTGGCACGCAGCGACCACAAGAGACGATAATTTCGCGGGTTCTCATCTACCCTTTAGTCGTCAACTCTGAAAGCGATGACCTCTGATTTGTAAAGATAAAAACTCGGCTGTCCGTGTCATGATCGAAATACCACAAGGTGGACATGCGGTTATTTCCCCTCCTTTGGCAGCACGGAAACTAAATTATCTCACTGCCTGTGAACTGCACATATATATGTACGTACGTATGTTGAACTTCTTTCGCACCAACCATAGCCGACCGCGCTAATCAGAGGTGCGGGGGGAAGGACAACAAACTCAAACGCAAGAATCTCACGTTCTTATGACATTGTTCCGTTCAGCATACGTTCAACATACACGTATGTATGTTGAACGTATGTATGTTGAACTCATTTTTCACCATGCGTAGCCAACCGTGCTCCACTTATTCTGGATACAGAGGCATAATGCTTCCTCAAATCTGCCATTCCCCATTACACTCCATGCTGTATCACCATTACCAGTTACATGCGTTACGATTTCCTCCCATTATCTTCATGTATAAAACCTCGCTGCTCAATTACATCGCATAGCGCATATTCTAAATCTCCATTATGAAAATATTAGGAGCAGCAGCAGCAGCAGCAATGTAACACGTTGCTAAAATTTCACATTTATGTTTAATAATGAATATTATGCTTAAAATTAAAGTACTATATACGACTTATTTTTTATTGTGTTAAGTCTGAGGCATATTTTGTATTATTTCTGACTGCAGTTAACCACGGTCGGGCGTCGGCTCTGTTTGTCTAAAATCCGGGGAGAGGGCAGAACAATCTCTGCCGTGAGTCTGACACAAGATGGATAGAGCCCTCGGGAGAACTTGTTGAACTTCTTTCGCACCGTAAGTAGCCAACCGCGCTAATCGGAGGTGCGGTGGAAGGGCAACAAACTAAACACAAAAAGCAGTTCTCAAGAGATGTGTTTTCAGTGTAGATTTAAAAGCGCGTAGCTCCAGTGGCTTCCTAATATCGGAAGGAAGAGCGCGTTCCAGACCGCCGCAGAAGCGCGTCTGCAAGCGCCACGCGATGCGGTGACCACCGTCTTTGCTCGATGGTCAGCCAAAAGCCGCTGCTGCTGCTGCTGCTGCGAGGATGACCGGAGTTTGCGCGATGGTTGATGCTCCTTGACGAGATCAGCGAGGTAAAAAAAAAAACGTGTGCCGCTACTCGGAACGCACCCTTGAGAAACTCGTCGCACGCCACGCGACGTAGTGCGGCTTGCAATGTGGCACATCTCTTCTGCAGGCGAACGCGTGGCGGAAAGTGTTGCGGAATCCGCGCACGTGCGTTGTTTTTCTTCCTCGGCGGTGGCGAGAGGGATCGATCGTGTCGGTTGACACAGCGGGCGATCGGTCCCCCGGTAATTTCTGCGGGGAGATACAAACGTGCGCTGTCCGCGCTACAGGGGGTGCTGAACGCTCATTAGCGAGACGAGTCCGACATGAACACTGCCTATAAATAACTGTTAAATTAACTCGTCACCACTTGGCGGTCACGCAGTTAACGGTTCTAAGGCATCATGATTCGGAGTTAGTTACTTGACAAATATTCACAAGATAATTTTTTTTATTCTTTTTATGTAAGGAAACATGTAAATGTGTTTCATTAGTGGGGTTTTTTTTATAGTGTGTCGTTTATTATGGCTGCTCTTACCAACATCTGGTGTGGCAAATTCAGTTTTGGCACGAAATTATATTGATCGTCTTATTCATTCGTCATTCCTTTTTCATTACGCAAATTCAGTTTTGGCACGAAATTATATTGATCGTCTTATTCATTCGTCATTCCTTTTTCATTACGCCTACCAATGTATGCCCTCTTTAGAAATAATCAACTCATTTACCCTGCATCATCAGCAGCCATGTTGTATCCACTGCTGGATGAAGGCCTCTCGGCCATCTTCCATGGTCTTAACTTGACACACAGGTAGCCAATATCTTAATTCATCATTTATTTTTGGGCTAGGCCACAATAATCTTACGAAAACTGTGACGATTAGAGCCGTGGCCCTTCTCATAGCACATCTGTATAAAAAAAAACATATTTTAAGACCACAGTGTTGTTGACGAGTGTGTTGAGTTTCTTTATCTATTTTAATTGTGCTTGTGCACCACTGCCAACGCAGCAGAAGCAGTACCAGATCATTTAATTACCAAATATGTGTCGGGAAACCCTCCGCCACCCGACAGCCTGGCCAGATGAATTGTCACGTGCTGTGCAAGTGTTCAACAATGTGGCGGTCGCGTGTCCACTCACCGGCGAGTTAAAGAGTAATTCTCACAACGAAATTGGGCAATAGGCATGACTCTTCATTTGGAATTTTACCAAATGTATAAGCCTAACATTGCCGTTATATGCACTGTGAGGTTCCTACTTCAACCAATCAGACATAATTTTCAGCCTCATTTTCCAAAGTTTTTAACAATTCAGAATATTTAAGATACGTGATACTTAAAAAAAAAATTTGTCAAAAGATGCTGCACTAGGATTATTGCATGCCAATGCAGAATGGTTCCGTACATCTGCAAATGAGTGCAGTCAGTGTGTGGATTCGATGTCTCATATTTAACCAGGTGAGAGGCCAATCTCCAGTGAGGACTGGCGATTTTGCTTACATTTTTATTTATATTCCGTGAACTTTAGTGGCAGATTTGTTTAACTTTTCAGTGGCCATTCTACGAACTGCGGATGCTGCCGTAGTGCGATGGAGAACCCACTGGATGTGCGATGTAGAGGTCACCGTCTATGAATAAAGAGCTTTATAGCTCATCGGATTCCTCCAGTGTTCATAAAGATTCTGATTCTCAAATCTCGTGCTGTGGCAGTTGAAACAATGGGACTCGTTTCTTAAATCCCTCCACCTCTGCCCACCCAGAAGTATAAATCGTTTCACCACAGTCAGTCGATCAGCTGGTGGCATGTGGTGGGTGCAGAGCATGGGTACTCTGACCTATTCCAAGACGTTTTGCCCAATAGGAAGAGTAGGCCCAATACCTTGTCCAGAGGGGCTCTATAGAGCTCCCTCAAGTGAACGCCCTTAAGCCAGCAGTGGAGTGAGCAAGCAATTGGATGGCCGCATGCTTACCAATGCAATGTGCACAGTATACTCCTTCTTGCAAATGGTGTAATATTAAAGTTAAGTTTACAACAGATGGCACAATTATGTGATCCACTTCCAATGCAGAGAACATTCCAGAATCACAATCAGAATCTCTATTTAAACTTCAGTAATCCCGTGAGCTATGAAACTCTTTTTCACAGATGTCCAGGGGCACGGTCAGACAGTTACAACAACAATTAACAATTCCACGTGATACACAATTGTGCAGTGGTATCTCTGTACGAGGCTACCTCAACCATAATGCCACTGCGATAACAGATTGCCTCTCGTGACTGAACACGCTGTAATTAAAAACTAACGGTGGCCAATGCCAAAAGAATGGCTTTCCAGACCGTGTTGCAGTTATTTATCTTTGTGCACACAGCACGCCCCCTTATGCAATTGCAACCTTTGGTGCTTTTTTTGTTTTAAAGATTAAATGACATCTCAGCAGAGGTCGAGACCATTGCTGACATCCATACGGAATTGCTCATCGGCATAGCGGTGAGGAAACGTTTACGAGTTGAGCTCAATGCAGTTAAACCCAAGCAGACGTGGCTATTACCACTCTTCACGTCACAGTCGCCTGCGT